AGATAGAGTAAACAAAAAAAAATTTCACAAGACTCTCTTTCCCAAAGGAAATCTCATGGATCTTGACAAAAGGTCCCAGTGAATTCCCTGTGTATAAAGTAGTTGATGACAAATGACAGAACTACACCAGTCACCTTGCTAGGCCCCAGGCCTCAGTCTTTAGTTATTAAAATTTAGATTAGAAAATGCTTTTAAAGGCAAACACAGCATAAGCAGAGGCCAGCATACCAGTCTTGTTCACAGATTACTTCAACTGCACAAATAGAGAGAAATCCAGTAATCCACCTAGTACAGAGAATGTGAAAATGATTCTTTGCTCTACTTATACTGTGCTTGAGCACAGGGGTGAAATACAGGCTGGTTAGAGGCCCTCCACAGTACTCTAACCTTTTAGGCTAGGGACAGGCATTACACACAAACTGATTTAAGTGATCAGAAACTGGTTTAAAGCTGTAACAGAAGAGATTTTCAGTTTGAAAATGGCTGAAACTGGTTTGAGATAAACCTGGTTGAATGTAATATCAGACTCAACTGATTTGGCTCAGACCGATTTATGCAATGTCTGTCCCAAACCCCTTGCTGGTTTAAGATAAACCAGACACCTGCAGCATCCTGGCATGCTCTCTGGGCTGGGCAGGGCTCTCTGTTCCACAGCAGGGCTGGCCCCTCCCCTCTGCTCCCTGGCCAGAGCTCTGGCAGAGACTGCAGGCACAGCAGGGTCTGCCTGGCTTCCCCCTGCCATACCTCCCCCCTTGCTGCTCGCTGCTCAAGCAGGAAATCCCCCTCCCTCCCATCTCCCACAGCACAGCCCCTAAGAAAGTGGTATGCTAGCTAATGCCGAGAGGTTTATGTGTGTGTGTCTCTCCAATTTTACTTGGACAGGCACACAGAACAGGGGCTCTTTGGAGCTAATCAACAGGTTAGCTGGTAAGCTGTTTAAAAAGAGTTTGAACTGATGGAGAGAGGCTATTGTTTTGCTGATCAGGTGATAAACACTGTTATCAGCCTCTTGCTGACCTGCTTGCCTGTCAGTTTGCTGCAGACAGTATAAAAAAGCAGGGAGGGAGATTGAAAACCTCCATATCAATGACAGATGCATGCGCTGCACACACCCCCTTTCCTCAGAGCGCTAGCACAGGTCTGGGGTCTGTAAACACTCCCCCCCACCCTCCTTGAGCATCCAGTGGGGGAAAGCCTGGGACTGTGCAGGTAGATCTTCCTAATTAGAGGTCCTGTTGGGGCCTGGTCATGCCCCCTCCCCTCCCCCTCAACTGAGCACTGTACAGGGGAAGGGAGGGTTGCTCTAGTGCCCCCCAGCTTCTAGCCTGACACACTGCAGGCATGTGCCTGAATTTCCTCAGTTCAAAGAGAATGTTTGTCTGGTTACAAACTGGTTCAGCCTAGCAGGGTTAAACTAACCTGCAAAGATTGAATCAATTTAGGCTCAGGTTTTTTGAATGTTTGTCCCTAGCTTTATTGGAAGAGAGGAGGTTGGGGCCACTGTTTGATGCTGCCAGGTAAGGATGCTTTTGTATCCTCTGTTTTGTGAGTTGAACCTCCATAGTTCAGTATGATAAGGGACAATGTTGTGCAGAGAAGGGGCACATAACCCTCTCTGCATCTCTGAAGGGATACAGCACCAAGGATGAAGCAGATGCTAGAGAAGCAGGGACTCTAGTTTCAGATTAACATACATGAGCTTAAGTAGGGTTATCATAGGTCCAGGTTTTCCCAGACATATCCTCTTTTTTGGCCCCCTGTGCTGCATCCAGGTGGGTTTTTAAAATAAGAGCAAATGTCTGGGTTTTTTGCATTTCCTTTGCTCTCTCAGGCTGGCTGCTTGGGGCTGGGAGCAGCAGATAAGGTGATTGGCTGTTGGGGGTCATGTGCTCCCCGTGCATGCCCTGGCAAGCCAGGTAAAGAGACACTGTGTGTATGCATGCATGTGCGCACACACGGGTGCTGCTTGGGCCGCAGGGCTGGGGGGTAGGGGTCTGTGGGTTGGGAGTGAGGGGCACTGGCAGGGCTGGGGGGGCAGGGGTCTGTGGGTTGGGTGTATGGGGCACCAGCAGGGATGGCAGCAGGGGGCTGCGGGTCAGGAGTGTGGGGCAACAGCAGGGATGGGGACTGGGAGCTGTGTTTTGGGAGTGAGCAGGGGCTGGTGGAACAGGGGCTTAGGAGTGAGGGGTAGAGGCAGGGCACGGGCATATCACTGCCACCCCACAATCATATGTCTTCCCCCTCCGCTCCCCCCAATCCCAGGTGTCCTCTTTTTTGCTGCTGGAAGTATGGTAACCCTAGACTGTGCATGGGGCCTTATATGGACCCTGTTCACAAAAGCAAACTGCATCCTTGCAGCGTGAAATAACATTCAATAAGGGCCTTCTGGGGGAATAATTCAGGATTGCTTTTTATACAGTTCCTTTGAACACTCTTCCTCAGTCAGAAACTGCTTTGGACTAATCCAGGAAGTGAGCCAGGTATAAAAAACACATCTGAGGTTGTGGAACATCTAAGACTTATTGATCATAGTGTAATTACACTTGAAATGTATTAGGGGAAGTAACTAAAACAATCTTGACTCTAGGAAAGCTGATTCGGGAGCATACAAAATAGCCTCAGGGAGGCTGATTGAAATTCTCTTCTGATGTAAGGTGAATCTCTTTCAAAGAAGAATGGGAAACACTTGGGGGAGAGATACCTGATTGAATTCTAAATGGACTAACTTGATAATAATGAAGCCAAATATAACACCTTGGCTGGTGCATAAATAAATACTGTGAGTGCAAGGCAGACGAATATCTAAAGGAGCAAAAGAAAAATATGCAGTTGCATATAAAAATATTCTGGACTTAAGTTATAATGACGAGCAGAAGCAAAAGTCAATCAGAAATGATAATGGAAACAAATAAAGGAGAAAGAAGCAGTGAATTAATTGCATTTTAAAAAATAAAAAATTTTTACCCAAGAAAAGACATATAAGAGGCATCTAGTTTCCTAACACAGTGAAGGTTAAATGGTGTTCGGATAGTAGTAGAACGTGACCGAAAACAAGATACATAAGCTTGACTAAGCATCCAGCATACTGAGTGCATATATTTTCCTAGGTAGTTATTCTACCAGTATGGAGTAGGGTGAGAAAATATCAAGGAGGGATACATCCTCAACTGTCATAAATCTTAGATCTATTAAAGTCAATGTCCACTCTGGATCTAGGACAGTTTGTACCAACTGAGGATTTGCCAGTGGTTATTCATCTAGCACAAATGCATTTGAAATCACGCGGGGATAAAGGGTGTAGCCGTGTTGGTCTAAGACAGGGGTGGGCAAAATTCAGCCCGGGGGCTGGATGTGGCCTGCCAAGCCATTCTATGCGGCCCGCAGGGCCCCTAAAAATGTAATATTTATCTGCCCCTCACTGCCTGTCATGCGGCCCTCGATGGCTTGCCAAAACTCAGTAAGTGGCCCTCTGCCCAAAATAATTGCCCATCCCTGATCTAAGAGAACAAGCAGTCGGTGTGCTAGAGGTGATATCTTTTATTAGACCAACTAGACAGTTGCAAGAAAAGGTTGCAAAATTAGACAGTTGCAAATAAAGAAAAAAAAATGTGCAACTGTCTAGTTGGTTTAATAAAAGACGCTACCTCTAGCACACTGTTTGAAATAATGCAGTCACCGAATGCATTGGTCTACTTTGGGGTAGAGGACTTTTTAGCTCATGACTAAAAACTGCTGGAGGGATCTGGCAACAAAAATAGTTTCATAGTTTCTATGAAACTGCCAGAGAAGGGTACGGATTGTCATCAGCTCAGAGTGTGTGCTCTAGAGGGAAATTGCAGATCAGCATATCCAGTTTCCCCAGCTGAGTCAAGCATAGATCTTCCTCGGCGTTTCTACTATAGTACAACCCCTTGGCACACTGCACGAGACTGGAGGGTGGGTTTATTTGTTAGTTTAGCCCTTACAGTTGCAGAATTGAAAAGAAGTCTGGGATTGCAATCTGGATGATGTCCAACTAAAATGTATACAGTTACGTGATATATTTTGATCCTGCTGTTTATTATGGCAGTCACTAGAACTAACAGAGAAAAGGAGACCACTACTTTCAGCCCTGCACAAACACAGTATAAGTAACAATTCAGAAATAATTTTTGTCTTCTATATGGTTTCTCTTCCTTTTTTAATGTTTATACATATTAATATGAACAGTATTCTCTTTTATTCAGCCCAGAGAGATCAGTAGTATCCCAACTTGTTCTGTCTTGGAGATGTGCTACATTAAAAAAAAAAAAGTGGGGTGGGGTGGGGAGCACAGGAAAGAATCTGGGGAAGACATTCTTCTCTACAAATATTGTAAAAGTGGCTGGTGATTTCAGTAAAATAATGAAGAAATTTGCCTTCATAACTTCTTTCATTTCAAGGAGCACTTGCTTCATATGTAGTCAGAAGAAATTCAGTCATACTTTTATTTCCTATCCTTTCTTAAGCTTGTGATGGTGACTTCCACCCCCCCGCCCCCAACTATCCCATGACAGGCCAATTCTAACACGTGCCTATCAACTGCCTTTGCTGTGTTGTGTGGTGTTTGCTGAAAAGCCTCTTAACATTTTGTCCTCCAGAAAGCACTCCAACCCAATGATGACTGAAAAACCTAAGCTTGCTCCCAGTGTTTGCCATTCTTTTGCTCACTGCATATGAAAAGTGGCTTAAATACATTTGTCTGTTACTGAATCCATTTGGACTGTGCTGTCCTAAATTATGCCTTCGTTCACATTTTGCCATTTTATCCTGTACCATTGTTCCAGTATCTTTCAGAACAGTGACATTTAGACGTACAAGCCTGTGATTTCTTTTAATTTTTTTTTGCACTCTATGTACTTTTTTTTCTTAAACGTGATTCATAAAGGGGGAAAAATAGAATGGATGTTATTTCTGCTATATAAAAGATGCCTGAAATTTCCTCATCAAAATAATATAATTTTTTTTCCCTTTATTTTTAGGTTTGGAAATCTCAGGTGTGTGTATATAGGGCGTGACTTGCTGATTTTAGGTAGTCAATGAGACCTAAGTCTGAGCAGAGAGGATGTGAATTGCCACAGAAGCAGGATGGGTGCATTTTGTTCTGCAAAAGTGTGAGTGATTCCACAAGGTGCAGGATGAGAGAACTGGGCCTACTGCTTTACTCTTTTCCTAGGGTATCAGAAGGCCAAAAAGGGTGAAACTATAGCCTGTTTTTGCTCTCTGATGAAGCAGTATCAGTCCCAAATGAAGAAAGAACTAAAACAGCTATTTAAAGCCAGAAATGGAGTTAAATATGAATTAGGTGCATGTTTAAGTGCTGTTCTGCATCTAGCCTGTTGACTCAAAGATGTTTACATTTTTGAGTTAAATAAAACAAAAATTGTTTTTAAATGATCTGACTGAAAATTCTTTTTTCTTTGGCTGCTAAGATTTAACTGAGGTTCAATCACCCAAAGATTATTCCAGGAAATCAAAGATTATACAACAGCTGAATTTCCGGTCTGGGTGGAAGGAGGCAGGGGGTGTTTTGCATTCCCCAAACAGTCTCTTATAAACTCCATGACCACGTTACCCTTCATTTAAAAAAGCATTCCCAAATCCTCTTGTCTTATTACCTATTGTTATATAGGAGGAATCTTTGCCTGAGTAACTAAAAACCTTTCTGTAATTACCTCCTTGGTATTTTTACATGCTTTGTTAAACATGCAACCATGTCAACTTTAAGTCATGTGGCCCATTAAAAGTTCACACTCTCAGTCACTTGTCTCAATCTGTGGTTCTATTTTAATACCAGATTTTCAAAAATCCCTTATTTTGAAAGTGCACTAGTATTTTCCTGTACTAGAAAAATGGTTCACTTTTGTCCCTCCTCGCCTTCCTTGTTCCTTTTATAAGTAAAAGTAGTTTTGGAGGTTGACTTTCTTAATTTTTAAAAGGGAAAACATGCACAAACCTTTCCCCTCCTCTACAATTTCAAGTTAGAATACAAATGGTTAAAATAAAGTATTGTATCAAAAATCCATTAATGTGAGCAAATACAGTAGTTTGCTAATTAAAACATACAAGGTAGAGCTAATATATGCAGTGGGTTTTACAAATAGTTTTTGCTATTGGAATAATATACACACCAATAATTAGTGTGCTGAACTTCAAGAAAAGGTTGGTGTTTAGAGTTGGTTCGTTTGTTGTTTTTCTCTAATCTTATTTGCCGAACGACAGACAGCAAGTCATTTATCTATGATACAGGCAGGAAGCTGGCAAAATAAATTTTAAATAGCAGTAGCGTACTTCCTAAAAGTAGTTATTTAGGCTAACATGTCCAGATGTAAATTAGAAGCTTTTTAGAAGGTTTAGGTTTAGATCATTTTTCCCATCAGTACTATAATGTTATTTCTAGTTGTATTTTATTTTTTTGAAACAGAATAAAACACAACTGATCTTGTTACCTCCCTTTTTGATTAAAAATTCAAAATTCCAATTTTCTATTGGAAAGCTTCCGGGTGGCATCTCTTGATATTCCCCAGACTCTTAGTAATAGGCTTACTACCCTTTGCTCCTCTGGCATGTAGATTTTAAAATGCTCCTTATAAACACCCATTCTTTTTGTAAAAACAATAGCCCTTGATTTGATTAAGTGTGATTCATCCCATCTGTACAGGATACATCTGTCTATTTCCTTGAAAAGGATATGCCCAGTGAAGTATGGATTACTTCCTTCTTTCCCATTTCAGTGAGCCTATCCTGCTGTCTGATGCTGCATCCACATACTCCCCTGCCTCTGTTTTCTTTTGTCTTATACAGTAGAACCTGGATTGTTGATTCTTCCTTCTTCCCCCTGCCCTTTGCCAAGGCTCTGTTAACCACGAGGCTCTGTGGAAGATCTTATCAAAGTTTAGCTACCTAAGGAAATTTATCACTACCCTAAGACTCCTCCATAACTAGATGACTGCCTCCATCCTATGCAGTGGCTCTGCCACAGAGCCATTTGCCATTTGAATTGGTGTCAACCAGGGCTGTGTGATCACGCCAGATCCATTTTCCATCTTTCTTGTGTTCATCAAGATGCTCATCCGTGACTGTCTGCCGCATGGCATTAGCATCAAGTATGGGATGGATGGAAACCTTTTCAATCTTTCCCACCTTCATGCCAAAGCCAAAGTAACATTGGCCTTGATTGTGGAACTTCAATACACCGATGATTGTGGTGTTGTTGCACATATGGAGGAGGACCTACAAATGGCCTTTAACCACTTCTCTGAAGCATACCAGTGCCTGGGACTGATCCTTAATGTCAGAAAAAAAGGTGCTTCATCAACCTGCTCTGGGCCAATCAACTCCCCTGGCAAAGATCCTCATTAACAGACAGGAGCTGGAGAATGTTGACCACTTTGCACACCCTGGCAGCCACCTCTCAAAGAAGGCCAACATTGATGAGGAGATCCAGTACAGAATCCGATGTGCCGGCTGTGCCTTCGGAAGACTGTATCATCATGTGTTCAATAATCACGATATCAGGACTCGAATAAAGCTCCTGTTATATAAGGCTATGGTCATCCCAACTCTTCGCTATGGCTGTGAAGCTTGGGCAACCTACTGGGAGCACCTGAAAAGCCTGGAATGCCTTCACCAGCAGTACCGCCGGAAGATGCTTGGCATAAAGTGGGAGGATCAATGCACAAATGCCAGTGTCCTTACCAATGCTAACACCACCAGCACAGAGGTGTTGATTATTCAGCACTGGCTGTGGTAGACAGGGCATTGTGTGTGCATGCCTAATGTAGGATTTACCAAAAGAACAATACTTCCGACTCGGCCAAGGACACAGGGCATGCAGCAACCAGAGGAAACGCGTCAAGGACAGCGTGAAGGCGAACATTAGGAAGTGTGGCATTTTGACATCACAAACTGGGAAAACTAGCTGGAGACATGGTGACAGAAAAAAGACAGAAACGGAAGGAAACAAGACTGAGGAGTCCATGGTTTGGCCCTCCCTTGAACCACCGGTGGCATCAAGAGAACGAGTTAACGAGCAACTGTTAACACCTACACAACCACAGACTAAGGAGAGGAAAGAACCAATACAATCAACTGCCCCAAGACAGAAACAGTCAGTCCCACAAGCACCCATGTCACAAGTTTTCTCTGTCAGCAGCCAGAGGTGCAGGGCCCCAAACCCCCCTGCACCCATCTCCTCGACAGCTGGCTGGCTTTGTGGCCACAGAAGGGGCTAGCAGGCCTGCAGCTTTCACCATGCTGCACCTTAACAGACACAGGGCCATCTGTGTCATGAGTTTTGCCCGTCAGCAGCTTGAGGTGCAGTTCCCTCCACCCATGCACTTATCTCCTTGAAGCTTGGCAGACTTTGTGGCCTCAGCAGGGGTGACCACCCCTGCAGTTTTCACCCCCCAGCGTTATAATACATAGATGTGCTATGAGTTTTGCTTTCAAGAATTTGGGGTGCAGTTCCCCCTGAACCCCTTCACCTATCTTCTTAAAACTTAGCAGGCTTCATGCTCTCAGCAGAGGCTACGCCCCCTGTTTCATCCATACCAGACAAAAAACAACAAAGTTATAGATATTTCATTGATTCCCCATTATACCCTATGGCTGGATCTCCGAGCCGGATCGAAGCGGGAACCCAGTCCCAAGCTCCGGATTGGATCACTGCCATCCAAAGCGGCTGGATCTGAAGCCAAACTGAATAGGTGCCAACTTGCACAGGCCTAATTGCCACCACCGAATGAAGCAAAGATGCAGGTTTGTGAAGTATGCAGGGGCATATCAGCCGTGTGGGACCAGAGAGATGCTCTAGCTGCAGCCGTGGCTTTTATTTCAAAGGGCACCAGTTCTCCCATCAGCTGTCGGGGACCACTGGTAAACTCCAGCTGAGTGGAAAAGCAATGCTTTATTAACGAACGTTGCAGCAGTCATTTGTTTGGCAATCTGCTTCCTGTGGATAGTAGGCTCTTTGAGGTAGGAGCCATCTTTATGGTATATCTTTGCACAGCACCTAGAACAGGGTCTTGTTCCAAGACTATTTTTTCTAGGCTCCGAATGTCACCAATCAACATGTCGCTATATGTACATTATAGTGTCTTGAAGCCCTAGTATTTTCGATTATTCTTTTCACAATTTTTGCATTCCTTCATTCCCTGTTACAACTTTTTAAATATTTGTCATAGCTTAAATAAACAGGACAGAATACCATTGTTAAACTATGCTGAACACTCTAATATCAGAATATATTAAGACTCATCCATCAAATACACACAAAATTGCACCTCTTTCCTTATCAGCCTATGAGTGTTTACCCTGAAACTGTGTTTCCAGGTGGATAACAGGTTTCTCCAATGCTGTATTTCTTACCTCATGCTAACGCTATTTTTCCTGTCTCTGCTCCAGTCCAATTTCCCTATGAACACTATTACTTGGCAGGGTTTCAAAAGGTTAATGAACCTTTATCTTCACCATGTCAACTTGGCAACTATTTTCTTAAAAAAAACATGCCCTTTGCAAACTGCTCTTTAGGTGATCTTGTCTTATTCACCCACACTGCAGTAAAATATTAAGTGTGATTTGAAAATGTTGATGTCTCAAATTCTTCTAGTGACACACTACCTTGTTAAAGATACTTAATAAAAAAATCTCTATCCTGTTGTTCCTATTTCAGTTTTAGTTTGTAAATTAATTGAGTTACTGTATCTGTGGCTGTCAAACTAATTCAAAACACGTTCTCATACTTATACTAACTTGTGATTTAGAGACCACAATACAGCTCAGTGGGATGGGGTTCAAAATGCTCGGAGCAAGACAGCTTCCCTGCTCCAGCAAATTTCCCAAGACAATGTCAACTGGAAAACCCAATAAGGGTCTTTCATACAAAGCCTACTGGAGCACTTGAGTTCCAGATCAGGACCAAAAAGAAAGTCACTTTCTAGTCTAACGATAGTGAAAGAGGTTTGGCTTTGAACCTGTCCAGTACAAAACAATTCTAGGTCTCATGACTAGGGCTAACCTTGCAGGAAACCTGCACCCAACCATTCAGATTTGCCCTTTTCCTTGATGGGATTGCTTCCCCAAGAGTGACTTGCTGTCCTCTTCCCATATTGCCACTGAATATACCTGGCAGTTTTG